CTGTTTGAGCTTGTAATTAACTGAAGATTGATCACTTCTCATACCAAACCATGACACCTTGCTGTCGTTCTTGTTGACGGCGGTGTGTTTATTTGATAGTGTAACGATGATTTCAGGATGGCTAAATGTCGTTCTGGCTTAAAATATATTCATGTTTCTTTATGGGTCTGTATAACCAACTATACTTTTTCACCTCTCGTGAATTTAGATTCTTGATGCAATCTCTTTTTTATTGCTGGCTATCACTGTATCTTCAACTTCCACCCAAAACCACCAGCACTTCAAATATTGTTTTTTAAAACGCTACCCAATATGTTTAGTTTAGCGTCGGGCTCGATACGACGGGCCGTTTCTAAGCCATCAAACTTAGCTCACATCAACGCAAAAGATAGTAATAGCGTGTCCAGCTTGCACTTCTTACTCACTTGTACTGTAGTGTCGCTACCGATGGAAATGTAAAAGTGATATATATTGACTCGTTCCTAGCTCGTACTAGGTGTTCTCCCATGTATTCTTTTAGAGTTTGGTGGACCGTTATCCGCAGTGGTATAACGGTCTATGGTTGCTGCAGGTACGCGGTTGGATAACGTTCCACATTTCGTGCTTGCACCTTACAGTTGATTCTCAATTTCTTTAGTAGCGTGTTGGTGCTGGTGAGCTCAACCTCATCAACACCTACGCGTTGTTGTTCAGCAACAATACTTCCCCCTCCAAAAGCTTCAAATGTAAAGATGCTGTAGGCGCCAGGTTTGCTGGATCGTATCAAGTGCGGACTAGTTGATCCGTAGCGCCTTTTTGAGTTCCTTAACCGCTGGAAGCATTCCGTGAGATTGAACGAAAGCTTTAACCGCTGCAGGCACATCCTGCATCAGTGTGGCAGCCGGCTCCCACGAATCTTCGATCGTATCAAGTCCACGCAAGTGAACTCTAAGCTCGTGACGTTTGTCCTGGCGGCCGTAACGCGCCTCAAGTAACTTGTCTACGACGTGCCCTTCACTGTTATGTGCTATGTGTAGCAGTAGGTCCTCGCTGAAGTTGATCGAGTCGTCAGCGTAAAACTTTAGGCGGCTAGCGTGTGCCTCCTTGCGCTGGCCTGTAACAAGGTTTTGAATTTCAAAAATTCAATTGGACACGGTGGAAACCACCTGTGCCGGTCCACACCAGTACACGCTCAACTTACTGCGCGTGTGTTGCCACACATCGGCGTACAAAACGTAGTCTCCCACGTCAAACTGGGCCATAGCAGTACCTTGCTTTTTGTCGCGACCCTTACGTCCAGCAGCACGAACGGCTGCGTTCACCTTCGCGCTGCGTTTGTGCATCTGTTCTAATGCGTGTTGCAGTCGCACGACATGTTCACGCTGGGCGTCTTGTACCTCCTGCAGTGTAGCCATTGCAACTGATCCTGGTACAGCAATATGGTCACTTGGACCCCTTTCGCGGAGCCCAGTCATTGCGGTCACCGGGGCTACACCTCCCAGTGCCGGTGATGGCGTGTTGTTCAGCACTAACTGAACAATCTAGTACACGCGGTAGTACAATATACGCTTGAACAGGGCATCATCGGTGCTGAAGAGGAAAGTGCAAGTGACGTCAAAGTGGACCATAGTGAAGAAGATCAGCCAGACGATCCTGCGGTGTGTGAGAGGGTAACAGCGTCTCAGATTGACGCGAGTGTTGCCCTCTCAGCAAACACCGTGGGTGCATTGCTCGGATACGAGAGCGGGAAAGTGATGAAGCTGCGGAACGCCCGCTATGCGCCACACATCCGCACGTAGAGGACGAGATAACGAGGTTGTCACAGATAGACACAAGTATTGCGCTGTCGGCAACCGTTTTAGATCACTGGGCTATGACTGATGATGGCGCGCTTTGGGGGCTTGGCAATTTTAATTCTCGAAATCTGTGACGGGGTCACACAGCACCTTGCGCTAGAGGAAGTTAGCTTCCGAGAGTATACAAACTCTCAGTGAACGGCAGTTCACAGGTCCCTTCTTTATTAAAAAGAGAGCGAAGTGACCTAATTAAGGTAGAATGTAAACTGAGTGTATTTATAGGTAGATAAAGCTTGGGTTTGATACAAACTATAAGTCACCTATAGAAATGGAATGTCGTCAACCAATGGTTGGTTTTGAACGACCTTGGTACTTTGTACCACATATCCCGAAGTATGACGTGTCACACTTCATGTAACCAGGGTACACTTAGGGCTAAGTACCTCGTTACAAAATCGCTGTACTTTTATCCTACGAGACTTACATTTCTGCAACAATGACACAGCAAACATGAGGGACAAGTTGTGGAAGTTGCGAGCTGTCGTTGACGTTCTTCAACGGAAATTCCTAGCTGCATGGTCGGTCGCTAATACCATCTCATTCGATGAAGGTGTGCTTCCTGCAACGTCCAAGCGCCCTGGTACTGGAATGTCTATACCAGACAAGCCGCATCGGCACCAAGATGCGCATGACGTGCGACGCAGTGTCTGCATACCGCCACAGGCGCGCTTTGTTTTTTTTAAGTTTTGCAAAGTCGTAAGTTGCGACTTGATGGTCTGACACTTGCATTATGCTGTCAGTTACGACTTAAGATTCGACATATATGTAGGCAAGCGTCTAAACCATGAAAGTGCAAGTCAGGCATTTGATCGCAAGACACAGACCTGGTACACTGCGCCCTTCACGAATGACCGTGCAAGTTCTTGACGCGCCTTTTCATCGAGGTGTGACCTTTTGTATCGGTTTGGCTCGCTCGTGATGAATGTCAACAGGTCCGTTGGCCTGAAATATATTAGCAATTCCACTGGCGAGGCCGTTTTAGCACAAAGCGCTTCCACTGATCTAGCCGCTTGATCCCTCATACCCTTGAACGCGTTGTTGTCGGATTCATACTCGGAGGTACAAGGGTCCATGCCATGGAACGTAGTTTGTCTTTGCTCATGTCTTCGGTAGATAGTGAATTACCCAAGTGATCAATAAACGCTGCATCCTGTAGCGCCTCTTCTTCATCGGATGACAGGTCATCATCAACTTGCCTGAGCACATCATCACCATCGTCATCTGATTAACAGCCATCCGACTCTGAGTCCATGCTCTCGTTCTCATCTGCATTGTCCTCGTCCTTCATGACGTTCACATTCTCTTGTAGCAAGCCATAAACTACTTCCGAGTTTGTTCGCACCATCTCCCCGGTGACGGTATCTCCAAGAGCACCATTTCGACCGACGCATGCCGATACATCCGGGTCCTTCCCTCCAAATATATCGTTTGAAAGCCCGATCACATAAGATCGGCTATGTTGTATCTGCGAACTTGTAAGTTAGTGATGCTGAGGTACGTCGTAAGTGTCACGTAGTAGAGATCAGAAACCTCTTCATAACTTATAGGCCCATCACAATGATAAGCCGAGTTGGAAGCACGGGCTTTTACAAACTCCTAGAAAATTGCATACTGTAAGTTATGACGTAAAATAAGGCGTGACCCGAATCCGCGGTATTAAAGGTGTAATTTTTTTTATTTTTTGCAAATTTTATAATTATGTAACAAGCATTTAATGCTGAATATTGTTTTTGGTCATTTCTTCGATAGCAGCACTAAGTTGGCTACCCTTGTCCCCTGTACGAGTTTTAACGCAAGGGAGGGTTGTTTGGAATGCAGACGCAACGAAACCGAAGTACATACAACGAGCAGCTTCAGTTATTTAAGCTTCTCGAACCGCTTGTTAATCGCCCCTCGGTAAACAGAAGCCGGCTGTAAATGGCGGGTTCCTTAATTTTGTGTCTCTCAATATAAAGTAAGATACCAAATAGACAAGCACCTCGCAAGTGCTGCTTTCTTGGCCTTTTGAAAACGGTTATGAAAGAAATGCTTCTACCATGAGACCTTTCTTCAATACCATGGTATTAATAGAACGCAGTTATTAATAATAGAAGTATTACGTTTTCCATTCGATTACAGCAGTAGAAACTTTCTAGTGCTGTAGTGTGGAAAATGTGAAACGTTTTTTTGTTAGCTAGTACTTTTAGTAGCTGCCACAACAATCATCCACATACTTGTAGGAAAGACGTTAAGGTGCTTTTGTGGCAGATACCTGGAATAACAGAAACTACAGCCTTAAACAGTAGTCTAAAGAGAAGACATGCACTATTTTTCTTAAATCCCTAAATCAATTCACTGCAGTGGTTCACCCTCGTAGTATTTCTTAAACTGGCTCACCACGTCCTTCTGGATCCTGGAAGCGCTAGCCTCATCCGTTTTAAATATTTTCCAAAAAATGTTTGTCGGATTGATTTGTTTGTCATCTTTCCATACCTGGAACTGCCTCGTCTGTAGTGCTGTGGCCTTCGCATTCGTCTCAACGGCCACTCTCACTCGCAAAAGCTTCGTCGCCAACTCGTTTTCACCTCGAAAGCCTCTCGCTAACGTGCCCATCAAGGTTTCATGTTTTGATTTCGCTTTGTTGTAGATGGAAATATATTCGCTTAGGGCATCCACACTTCGGCCATAAACAGCTGCCTCGACCTCCATGAGCTTCAAGCGCGTGAACACATCGTCCACAGTCAACCCATCGTCCAGCCAGCGTTGGTGCTGTTGCTTCTGCAATCTTTCAGAGACCCACGCCGAGTTCCCATGCGCCTTCCCATCTAAAATCGCCTTTGCCACGCCAGCCTCTCCGAACTTTGACGTCAGTACTCCCAGCAACGTCACCTGGTCGCTTGGGTTGTTTCTGTTAAGCTCTGCTATGTACTTTTCCAATGTCCGTAGGTTATCGCTTTTCAACACGTCGTCGACATTATTGTCCAGTTTCAGTAGCTTCATGACACTTTCCGGCGTCACGTTTCCTTGTCGCCACTGCCCAATCAGCTCGTTCTCCATCTTCCTCGCCGTCGTAGCTACATATGGGTCGCGTTTCGCTGCCGCTAACATCGCAACCAGCTGGTCTTCGCCTTTAAAACCATTGATGAAGGTCTGGAGCAACGTTACATCGTCTTTGTTCTTGGCGTTCTACTTGGCGATGTACTCTTCCAGTACCATAAATTTTCTGTTCTCGAGTGCTTCGACCCCATTGCTCTTAAGATTAAGTCGCGTGAAGACATCATCGACACTTTGACCGCCGGTTAGCCAGCCATTGAGCTGGTCAACTCGCAGCTTCGACGCCAGGCTCACCATGTCAGGGGAGGTAGAGTGTCTTTCCAGATACACTAAAGTTTTCGCCACAGCATCGTCTCCGTAGTGCGCTGAGAGAATCCCGACCAGCGAGATGGGCCCGTCCGCGTGTTTATTGTTGAACATTCTGATGTACTTGTTCAGTTTCTCGAGTTTCGCGTGGTTCAACGCACTCGCCACGTCATCACCGAGTTGCAGACTTTTCAGAACGTCAACTCCATCGTTCTTTTCATTCAAAAATGCCTTCAGATCGACCTTTTTCCTTTTAAAGAAATTCAATATGATATCCAGGCCTCCTCGTTCTTCAGTAGTTGTGTAGGCTCTCAAGTACCTCTGGCTAGGAACAGCATATTGGCGATGGACTACAACGTTTGCGAGCGCCACGGGGGTGACATCTCCCGAGGAATGGTCGAAGCACGATAAGAAGACGAAGGCTGACGGCAATAAGATGGAGTGGAGGCCCATCGTCGTGGATTACGCGTTGTCACGTGGGGTGCCTGTGGTTGTTGAATGGCTACGAGGGCTGGCAAGTTTTAGGATGGCTTCTTATTGTAGAAGCCGTGACTCGACACGAGAAGCTTAGAACTATTTCTAATAAAAAAGTGTACATGTACAGTATTCAGTTCTCACTATCATGGACTTGATCCTGGATGCGAATTGGGATCGTGAAATCGACTGGTTGACATAGGAGTTCTACTTACGATTTGATACTACAGTACCAAATTGCCAACACACTGGAAGCTAGAGTTCTGTATTGATAGTAAGAGAACACTATTAATACGTGTAGTAGAGAAAAACGATGGGGGTCGTAAGAGTATTACGACCTATCGCAGTAGAGCAACACTTCGATAGCAGTTACATGTAGATAATGAAATTGTTAATATCCAGAATTTGCTAGAAGAAGATACCAGTTAAAAAAGGTAGTTTATTTTAATTAATAATAAACTAGAGCAAGTTAGATCTAAAACTAATATGTTTAACATACGTATGCGTATTCTGTTTTGCTGGGCTTAAAGAGGCTAACATCTCCTCCTGACCTTTTGGTGTCTCTGCTACAGTACATGTATTTAGCGCGTGCTCACTATCATCATACTGCAGTCGCACCGTTTTATTTGTGGACAGTTTCACCCTGTTTTGTAAACAGCTCCTAAGAAAACTAATACCGGTACAGTACTGCACCCCGTTTTCGCGCCCTTGGACCTTTGATAAACTTCCGGATGAGATGATCATGAATGCAAATGAACTATTGTTTGAATGCTAATATCGATTTAAGCTGCAGATCCTATATGGTCCACCCCCACGTAAACGGGGTGCAGTACTGTACAACTTCGAAGAACATACCACATGTTTAAAAACCAATCTTGGTTCCCAAACCTTCAATGTGCTGGCTCTTTCTGGTACACTATTCAGTACCAGGAGCTTAGCACTTGATAGGTAAAAAGAGACTTTGAGGTGAAAGGCGAATATTCATAAACTTCTAGGCTATCATAGAGAGTTTTTCCTTTTGTCTCCCCTTCTAGTAGTGCGCACACTTCAACTTATAATTACCACCCTCATTGCTCAGCTCGGCGACCGAACCTTCCAGCATTGGGATGATCACTGGTGATCTGAGTCGATGGCTGCGGACTGATTATCCGGTTGCTTGAAGTGTTTGACAGTGGATTCACGTACAAGTGTGGCTGGAGCTGGGGACGTCGGGCTCATATATCAGGAAGGCGCTGGAGCTGCGTGGACAGGGCGATGCAGTACTCAAGACCCACAAAAACTACAGGTACTATGAGTTCTTGATCAAAAAAGCTTTAGAATACCGACTCCGTATTTTTAAGGCCAGCGAATGTCATGTGCTCAGCTTATAAGGAATGCAGGATCGTAAATTCTTAAAGTGAGGCTGACGATCGCATCGGCAGAAAATATAATAGCATAATACACTGTGTTGCCAATTACATAAATATATGTAGGAGTACTGTACCTCATGTGTTAATAGGAGCTTTTGCAAAATAATGCAGTTTGCCGATACAGTATGTTAGGTCAATACCGTAAAAAAAACAAGAACACGCGACCGCTGCAAGTTCCTTTAGCCACAGAAACTGAATGCGGGGTTTAGGACAGAGTTTTATATATCAGCGTAATCGGAGACTGGGGTAAGAACACAACGAATGGCGTTAAAGCACCATTCCCTTATCGCACTGCGGCTCCAGTTTTACACCCTTAATAACGAGAATAGATTACTAACAATTTAGCGTAAAGAGGCGAAGTTTCACAATAGTGACATCGCCAGTGAGGGTTTTACAACAGGGACGTATCGAATTTTCAGTTTCTTGTAAGATAAGCTGACAAATACAAGCGCAAGCCGAAGAAGAGTGTCGGCATGGATCAGCAATTATTGGTACGTGAGCTCCTGCGCTCCAGAGCCCACGATCTTCAACAGCTTCAAGACAAGGTGCACACAATCACGGAGGCGCTAAATGACCTGATGTTCGCTCGCGAGGAGCTCGAAGAGATGCTTGTACGAGAAACAGAGGCAATCAACGAGCTGACTGTAAGCGTCGGAGAGACCCCTGGGCGAAGTGAATACACTCCATCTTATGGAGTTCTGCTGGGGCAAGTGGTCAGGCTACTACGGCGTGATCCTTCAGCGCAGTGAATCAGTAGCATATGATTAACAATCGGATTTTCAGAGTTTGTATGAAGAGTGCAGATTTTTTTCTTTAAAATTATGATCTCACTGCTGCCTGTTGAGTTCTTGCTCATTTTGCTGACATAACCTTGCTAATTGCTTCATCTGCTTCCTGCATTTTCTTAATGTTATCTTCACGAGGCGTAGCCCTCTTTCTTGTGCACAACAGTAGCCACGCATGTCTCAATCTCATAATTCGTGTGTACGCCTCCGTGATACGATGACGCTTGAACCTGTGGGCGTTACGCACGAACGCGTAAACCATTTCAAGAATCATAAGACCGCAGCTTGGGCCGTCGGGCTGCGCAGGTTTGTTAACCCACCTCTTAATAATATCTTTCGGGAATGACCCCTTGGCTCCACTTTCTGAATGTCAATTCTGCAAATACGGTAGCAACTTGTCCTTCCACACATTTTATTATTTCTGCCTGATATCGCTGCTGGTGGGGCGGCTCGCTGAAACTAACTCTTAGCGTCGTAGGGAATGCCACCTTCACAATGACAACACCCCAGTGTAATATGCGAAGATGTAGTGGTAGAATCACGAACGGTGTCTCAGACAGCCATAGCTTTGGATAATTAGGCCATACCATGAGCGAGGACAGCGCTACACACCCATCGACACAATCCGCAAACCTATTGATGCCCATATCGATCACTGCATCATTCATCATCACGTCGCGGGGTAATCCAGCAGCAACATCAATAAATTTGATAAAGGAAGACCCCGACTTAGTCTTCAATATGGTCATGAGCGTAGTGAAGAGTACTTCTTCAGAACATCTTTCGCCAGCGCTTCATGCATTCTTGCACTATCAGAATGCAGCAATCCACTTGTTTTTTTGTCTCCAACGAGAAGGGTTCGACAGGGTGGGCTTAACCTGTGCGCCACTCTTGCTTGGGCCACTTTGTATCTTCAATAAACCCCCTTGCTTTTGCCTTTAGTATGTAGAACTGCTTCATTCTGTTGAGATAAAAAACTAAGGCAAAATTGCAAAGTGAGACAGAGACAATTAAAAAGAGAAAAATGGAGCACCCGTATTTCTAGTGAAGCCCCCTTAATACGACAACAAAAGGTTCCACATACCTGTACAGAGCAAGGGTTTTCGATCCAAACGAAACCAGCAAGCCCCTAGGGGCATCCTCCTCTTTCTTCGCGAGTGAATCCTACTTGTGCTGAAACGCCGCATCAGCTTTTTTCAGTAAAGCTTCTGGAATAACAAAAGGTTGATCAATGACCTTGTTCTCGCTGTCTTGATGCGCAACCTCACAAGTAACAGGACAAGTTTGTAAAAACTTGTCTGTCATCCTAACTGGGTATTGGGTGAGTACATTTGAAACCCTCTGCACATTTGGACAAAAGCTAGCCCATTGTATGATTTGAGTCAGAAGTCGTGGCGACCTCCGATGACATCTAAATTGCCGCAAACTTGGGCTGAGGTGTGATCCATCCTTGTTTCAGTTTCTTTCGGGCTCGGGGTTTTGGAGGTGGCAATCGAAGCACTTTTACACACCGAGTTTCGGAATCTGGTTTCAGCTTAAGTTACGCTTCATCACGCACGATCTTAGTTGACAGACCTTTGAGGCTATCGCCGTTCTTCACGTCTGACGTAACAGTCTTTGCTGAATTCTGTGTCGCCGCCACTTCAAAGTCATCGGAAATTTCTTTAAGAGGGTCATCGCTTGTTTGTTTTACCTCGTTCTGGCCACGAGCTATATGTTCAAGCGATTCGTGCTTCATTTCCAGATCCTGGTCAACGTCCATTTCAGCCAGAAGATCAATCTAATCTAGCTGGTCAAAAACGCTATCGGAATCGCTTTCAGTATCCACACCAGCTGAGCCATCCTCGGGGGATAGCGTCGTGGCTCCTGTTTGACCAACTTCATTCTCAATAAGAAATTTCCACTTGGCCATTTGTTGATAAAAAGAAACAGTAGATAGCCCAGTCGGCGATTCTACCTCGGGTTCAAAGAGCGCCTGAGCCCTTGCATATTTTTCAGCATCTGAGAGCACGACCATATTGGCTTGTTCTTCTCTTCGTAGGCGGACATACTCAACGGAGTGATTGTGTATTGGCTGTGCCGTGAGGTTTCCCGAGGTTAAAGATATTTCATGTGACTTGGGCGCCCTTAATTGTCCAGCTCGAGATTTAACCAAACTGGTAACTTGCCGAATTGAATTCAACCCTTTCTCCAGCGAATCGTACAGTTCTTCTGTCTTTTCCATGCCCCATCGCTCTGGTATTGATGCTGCCGGTAGTTTTCTTAATTTGTGACCTTTGCCCGCAACAACCATGATAGGTTGACAAGGGAGCCGACGGAACTTGTAAAAAGAGCAGCTCCAGAAAAGGTCGTCAACACTGAGCTCGTGCCTGGACACACAATTTTGCCACTCGGATTGAGTTGGACCCACTTGGGCACACGTGGCCTCTGTCTTGTTTACCATAAAAAGATCCCACTGTGATGAGACCTTCGCAATCGCGTCATTAGATAGGTATGCAGCAACCAGCTGCAAGAAAGGAGGTATCATATCTGCTCTTCGAGACTGGGTAGTAAACTTCCGGAGAGACGAAAGCAAATGATTCACGATATTCACTTGGTTCTGGAGCAGTCCTGCAATCGTTCTGTCGATTCTCGTTTTTCTCCCCAGAAGACGTTTTAGCTGATTCCAATTGGTCTCAATCCGGTTTGTTGTTCTGTTCCCGGTCGTCAAGTACTGCACGCCCATGGTTTGTCCACATTTCACTACAACAGTCCCAGTTATCCTGGAAATATTCAAGTATTTTAGGACATGACTCCTTGGAAATATCAGGACACTCTCCGTTGCAGAAGGTTTCAAATTTGTCTCTCGCGTTATTGTAGGCAGCAGCTGTAGACCCGTACATCATCTGCCTGATTGAAATTTCCACAGCATCTCGTTGGGTCCCGGAGAGATTGTACTTCGATCTCTTCACGACCAGTTCGCCATTGTGTGAAATTGGCACAGCAGCACGTTCGTCTGGGGAAACAATTTTCCACTCTTTAAAGCCCTTATCGATAACAAAAGTCTCGTTCTCTTCCCACTTCTTGTTCTTCCTTTTAAAGGAATGTAGAATTGCCTCCATAGTCGTCATCCTTTCACCCAGCGCAATAAATTCCAGAACTGGAACGCCGCGCCCCGTTGCACTTGTAACCAGGAGACTTCCTGCGTTTTACAGAAAACAAAAACATGAGTTAAAGGTGCCGCTACAGAGATAAAGGTGCGGCATGGCGGGTAAAAGCAACTCAATATAAAAACGGTCCTTACCGAGATAAAATCCCAAATTGTATGTACCATACGTCCAATCCATGCAAAGGCTTTCACCCCAAGGTTCAAAAGCTAGTTTCTACACCGCATTCTGGATCACAACTCCACTTGTCACGTCATTTTGATTCCTGAGAACGCAAATCTCGTGGTCGTCAAAATTCGCAAGCGTATCCAGCATACAGGAGAGCTTGTTGGCCGCTGAAGTGCTTTTCAATACTCTGCGGACAATGTTGCGCGCTTGCTGTGGTGTTACTTGGCGATCCAAGACACCTGATAGAAACGCTTGCTCAGTGTTGGCATCAGTAAGAAGCCCAACTTGCTCAAATACCAGACTATTTTCTCGAATTGATCCAACACTAAAGTAGCTCGCGTAGAACGTCGCATCTGCGCGGTGGTTGTGTCTCCAGGTCTAGGCAGTAATATTATGTTAGGTGATATTATGTTTCATCGTTACGCATGCTAATGCTTACCCAGTTTCGTAAAACAACGCGCCAATCTTCATCCTGTCCTTCCTCTGCCATGTTCTTCACAGTAGCAGTAAAGCGAGCCTTGCGTCTGGTGTATCGACTACGAGTACTACGCTGGCCTTTACTGCGAGATTTCTGCGGACTGCCATGAGTGCAACGGAACACCTTGAAGCTGTGCTCCATCTTTAGAGGAGCTTAAGGATCGCTCAAACTACAACAGTTATATCAACTCGTCAGTGTAAATAAAAATAACGTTATTAAAATATAGACTCGCGTATTGTGTTTCCTCACTGTTCTAGTATCTCGAGCTCTGTACAACAGAAAATTTTCGCGGCAGTATTTATCAAAACGATCGTTAAGCTCCTTCCACGACGAAAAAAACAAGCATCGGCATCGGAGGAATCTTGTTCACAACGCCCACTCGAGACATCGTCATCGCCACTCGCTATGGATACGATTCCGTGTGCCTAACGTGGGGTGTGCTGTCATGACTTGGGTCTTGGACGCGCACATCCACGCCTTGGCCCTGGTCACCACAATGCCCTTCATCGCTTGGTGGCAGAGACAAAGTCTCCGCGACGCTTTCTCCGGCACCACCAGTAGTCTTCCCACAGGATCGACGTCTCCGACGTTTCTCCGGCCTTGTCACTCGCTGTGCCCGACTCTTTTTCCGCTTGGACGCTTGATATCTTAGTCTATGATGTGAGCGTGGAGCTGAAACAAAGTTTAATAGCAATTAGTCATAGCGCATGCAATGTCTTCAAATCAAGCGCATAGAGGAACGAACATCGCCCATGGCGTCGTGCAGGGGTAGCATCTATTCGTAAAAAGGATCGATATAGTGAGCTTGGGTCAGAATTCTGCAAACGCCAAATCAAGACTCATACCCATTTCGTCCAGAATGCCCTGCAAAGTGTCGCTCGAATCGCTCGCAGGCTCGAAGTCTTCGTCGCGGTCGTCGTCGCTGGAAGACGAGCTATGCTTGAATAGGTCGTCGAGGTCGTCTCTAAATGGTAACAAGACGTGTTGGCAAACCTCAAATAAACCAAACAAGGTGCTAGACGTACGTACGTCAGACATTGTTTGCGGAGTGCACTTCCAAGGGTCAGTTTCGCGTTGCGATCTTTAAGTGACTGGCGATTAACCTTCGCGGGAAAAGCGCTGAAACGCTCGCGGGAAAAGCGCTGAAACGTTCGCGCGATGGCTTCTGACGC